AGAGAGAGATGGATAAGATAAGGGACAAGAGTCCTAGAGTGAAGAGAAGACTTAGCCAAAAATAAGGATAAAGCTCTTAGGGAGTTTATCTTTATCTCTTGAAGAGTCCAAAGTAAGTACTGAATTGGAGTCCATAGAAGTCAGGCTTCTTGTGAAACTAGGATTAAGTAAACTATAAAAGAGAGGCACCCCTGTGGGTCTAAGGTACGCAGTTTTATGCTTTGAGTAGTGAGTTTAGCACTTGATTATCTTTGAGAGATATACTGACTTGATCGTCGGAGTGTCCCCGGGTGGAAGAGCCACCGTCGGAGTCTTTTCTTTCTGTTACAGGTTAGCTGAAGCCATCTATTCTGCCAGTGTTTTTCAAACTGATTACTAGGCGGACAGTGTGGTCAGAAAATCACCCACACAGTACCTACTTATGAGGATAAAACAATATCCTTCTTCTTTCTTCAGTATTTGCCATTGACAAGTGTGAGGGAGTACGATGGGTGAGCAAAGAAGAAGAGATAAGGAGCCTTTTTTGAATTTGATTTATTTATCATTAGAGTGTACCACAAATTATGATTTTATCTTGAAAGATAATTTGTAAAAAAATATAAAGTATGTTGAGGATAAATTATAACCCTAAATAATTTAATAAAGAACACTACAAAATTAGATGTGCTGAATAATTTTTTTGCGTGAATAGAATTCCTGTGCCGTTCCATATTCAAATCACTCAGCCATTCACCAACGCCCCCCCCCCCCCCTCCCCAAAAATTTTCTTCAAAATTCAAAACTCAAAAATCGGTTTGCTTTCGAATTTTTATTAACAGTTTTCTAAATTTTTAATTTATATTTTTTTATTTTAGTGAATTTTTTTAACATTTTAATTATTTTTTATTTTTTAAATTCACTTAATTCAGATATACTTAAAAACTATAAAATTTATACAAAAATTTATTAAATACAATAAAATACTAAATATAATGAATCTATATAATAAAAAAAATTGTATTCAATGAGTTTTTTAAAAAGTTTTTTTACACAAATTTCGTACTTTTGAAGTGTATTTAGATAAAAATAAATCTAAAAAGTTTAAAAAAATTTTGATTAAAATAGTAAAAAATTATGAATTGAAAACTCAAAAAACATTTTTTAAAAACTCCAAACTAAACAAATTTATCGATCTGCATTTTTTTCTTTAATATTTCAGTCAATTTTATTTTTTATTTTTGAAAAAATGTTAGGAATCTCAAATGTTTTATCAATATTTATACCAAATATGTGTGAGACTCACATCATGTGAGTCCCATGTGGGTCCCACACCCATATTAAACATTTATTAAAAATGCTGGTAAAACATTTAGAGTCCCTCACATTACTCATTTACTTTTTAGGTATATCTAATCGAGATTTACTTAAAGCAAAAATATTGTGAATAAATCTTAAAATCAATGAATAAAAAGAAAAAAAAAACAAAATTATGCAATATTTTTGCATTTTTTTAGTATTTAGTTTTTTTTTCCAAATTTTTTTCATAAATTTTATACTTTTTAAGTGTATTAAGATTTATCAAAATAAATTTTGAATTTTGAATTCATATTTTTATTTTTAGTCATATTTTTTAATATTTTAGTGAATTTTTTTTTTTACTTTTTAAATCCACTTAATCTAAATACATTTAAAAGTACAAAATTTATATAAAAAAAAAAACTTTAAAATTTTCAAATTGAAATATTTTAACACAATAGCCACTTCCCCAAAAAATTATATAAAATTCATTACATTTTAGTATTTTTTATTTGTTGAATTTTTTTAGGAAAAAAATTATATAAATTTTATACTTTTTAAGTGTATTTGAATTTAATGGATCTAAAAATAAAAAAAATATATTGATTAAATTTTCAAAAAAAAAATTATTAAAAACCAAAAAAAAAAAAAGTGATGAAAGAATGGATAAAATGTGATAAACTGTGAGAAATAAGTTCATACCATGTGATTAAATGTGATGAAAGATTGGATATATGATAAGAGTTTAAGGGATAAATTATATCATTGGATAAAAATAACATGATTGGATAAAAAAAAAGTGACATATTATATTTGATTATGATGAAATAAAAAAGATATAATTTTTTTTTATCATGAAATGGAGGAAAATAATAATCCGGATAATTCTTATAATACCATACTACCTATGTATTATTAAACCTCACATTTTTGTCTATTTAAATTTTTCAAAGCAATATAAGAGTGTTTAAAGCTTTGTACCATACAAAACAAACACCGAATTAAACTATTTGGTGGGACTCACGTGCTCCACACAGTACAACCCCTTTTTTTTAATCCTGCGATCAAATACTGAATAAAGAACACCTTGCAAGTCCCACATGTTTCTTCCTCTTTCAATAATAATGTAATCACGATTATTCACATATGTTCGTGAGACCAAGGTTTTGAAAATCAAATCGGTGAGCAAAATGAAAAAATGCCCGAGCAAATGAGTCATTGGTTCAATCGTAATTGAATCGGAATTAAACCGTGATGTTATAATTATGTCATAAGTATATTTAAATTTATAATATAAAAATATAAGATATTAAATACGAAAATAATAAATAATAATCAATTACAAAAAAACATTTCTTAGAATTTATTTTACTTTCTTTGTACATTGATTTAAATAAAAATAATTAAGATATATTGAATATATAGTATATGTATTTGTTACATTATCAACAATTGTGTTGATGATTTAGTAGTCAAAATACTTATTTCTTATGCACTTAGTTCCATGTTCAAGCACTCCACAACATATTTTAGGCTAATTTTTGGGCATCAAGCAATTCTAAAGGTTCATCTGAAAAGTGAAACTAAGTTCAGTATCGATTGAATTGGTTGATCTGGTCCAATTTCCTAGACATTTGTTATCGTTTGTGGGGGGAAAAAAAAATTATTTAGTTTTGAAATTTGAAAATGAATTTCAAACCTAATTACATTTTTGTTTATTTTTTGTAGTTAGTAATTTAATTTTTCTTCACAAATATTTAAGTGAATATATTTAAAGAGAAATATCAAGTGACGTTCTTAAAAAATAATTATAAATTAGTAGGAAATTTTATACATATTAATAATTAAATTATAAATTTCTTTAAATGTATTTTTTTTTAACAATAGTGGATGTAATTATCCCTATATTTAAAGTTAAAAGGATCATTAATATAATATATATATAATATATATAAAAAAAAGAGTTAAATTCATTTGATCTCATTGTTGGTTTGGGTTAGGGCATTTTACCCTCCTATTTTATATATAGCCCAAAGCATTCATGTGATTTTGGATTAAAGTGTTACTCTTAGTTTTTCCATTCAAACTAGCGGAAGGTATTACACGCTAATTTTGAAAAAAAAGGTGTTATTTTTTGAAAAATTAGAATGAAATTAATACCAAAAAAAAAATTATCCCCTTTTCTCTAAACTTAAAATTAGATTAATATGTTAAATAAAATATAATTAAGAATTTATTTAAAATTTAATTAAATAAAATAAAAATTAAAGAAGAACTTTTGAAAACCCTCGAGACTTCTCTACCAATTTTCTTCATAATGACACATATATTTCTTTTGGGGCAAGCAAATGTTTCACTACTAAAAAAATATATAAATGAACATATATATATATATATATATCTATATATTAATGATCCTTTTAACTTTAAATATAGGGATAATTACATCCACTATGTTAGAAAAAAAAATACATTTAAAGAAATTTATAACTTTAATTATTAATATGTATAAAATTTCCTACTAATTTATAATTATTTTTTAAGAACGTCACTTGATATTTCTCTTTAAATATATTCACTTAAATATTTTTTAAGAACGTCACTTGATATTTCTCTTTAAATATATTCACTTAAATATTTGTGAAGAAA